ATAGTGGGGGGTCAGAGGGGGGAAAGAATCTATCTCCTGAAATGAACAAGGACCTGTACTTGCCATGCTTCTGAGACCTGAGAGAAACACTGAAGGTCTTGTCAAGAAGGAACCTAGACCTCTCTACTGGGTTATGGTGACAGCTCCGGGTGGGAATCTCTGCAGTCTTGGCCCTTCCCGATCCCTTAAGGGTGGACAAGAGGTTTCCTAAAGGCACAAATCCAATTATATCACTTGGTGGCTCCCACTGCCCTGGTGCTGGGGTCTCCATACCCTAGTGGCTGGAAGGTCCACCCTCACTGACTCTGTGCAGTGTTCTGCAGCCACCTCTGCCCTCCTGCTGCGAGGCGGCTCTGGGGAACCACAGGCTGTTCCTTCTGCTTACAATGCTCTGCTTATCTCCCATCTTTTTAAAAACCTTTATTTTTAACTGACAAGTAAAACTGTATGTATTTATGGTATACAACATGACGTTTTGATGGATGTGGGCACTGTGAAATGGCTGAAGCAGGCTATGTAGCATACCAGTTCCCTCTCATAAACACTTTTTTTTTTTTTGTGCATGGTGAGAACATTTAACATCAACTGCCTTAGCAGCTTTTGAGATTCAGTATATTATTAATTATAGTCACCATGATGTGCCACAGATCTCTTGGACTTTTTCTCCTAATTGAAATTTGGTGTCCTTTAACCAACATCTCTCCAACCCCAACTCAGCTTCTGATAACTCCTATGATTTGGACTTTCTGGGGTTTCACAAATAAGTGAGATCATGTGGCATCTGTTTTTCTGTGGCAGGCTTATTTCACTTATATCTTCCAGGTTCATCCATGTCATTACAAATGACAGGACTTCCTTCTTATTAAAAGATGAATAGTATTCCATTGTGTATATATATGTGCCACATTTTCTTTTCCTCTTTATTATAACTCCATGCCAACCTCCAGAGTAGCACCACTTCTCCAGCCAATTCATTCTGTCCCTGCCTCAGTCTGGACATCACTCTTCCTTGAAGTCATTCCTGGCTCTTCCTCCACAGCTTTGGATCCCCTCTTCTGGGCCCCCTGACTGTTTTCATGGTGGGATTGAGTTTAGCTCTGACTTGACGTCCCCCAAGATAAAACAGACCATAAACAATTTAATTTTGGAACTCCACATGGTAAGGCACTTTCTTAAGAAGACTCCTTTGTTTAATCAACAAATATTTACAAAATGCCTAACTATTAGCCAGCTGTTGTATGTGTAAGGAATTATAAGATAGAGTCCCTCTTTTGTGATGCTGACAGTCCAGTGGGGAAGAGAGACAGTCAGGGAGCCCTTTGGAGAGTGGGGAAGGTCTATACCAGAGGGGCTTGTTCTCCTCTAAGGTCCGTGGTCTTGCTGGTCCCTTTCTGAAGTCCTCACCCATGTTCTTGGCATTTTGGCATGGCTCTGCTAACCTCAATGAATACTGCTTTTTCATCTCAAGCCTCTTCCCCACTTCCCTGTTTTAAATTCTTTCACAGCATCTTCGATGATGGGAAAATATCTGTCTACTTGTTTCTATCTAAAGCTTTGTCTATTTTATTCAAGGCTGCTGACCCTGAGACTAGAAGAGTGCTGGCCCATTCACAAGCTCATTCATTCATTCACCTGAAGTGTGTGTATTACACGCCAGGCACTTATCCCCATGGGGATAAGAGGGAACAAAACTCTCTTCCCTCTTGGAGCTTACTTTCTGGTTGAATAATGAGTACGATTAATATCCATCAAGTGCTTTCTATGGATAATCTTTGTGCCATTTAATCCTCACACCAACTCTAATTAAGTACATGCTCATCCCCATTTTACAAGTGTAGAAACTCCTGGGCAAGTTGCTCAAGGCTATCCTTTGTAAGTGGTAGCTTAAGCTCCACACCCAGGGAGTATGGTTCTGCTGAACACTGCTAGGAGAACAAGAACATCATGGTGGGGCAGGGGAGAGTCAGGGTGCTTCACAGAGAAAGTGGAAAGGTCCTTGAAGGGCAGATAAGAGTTCAAAGGGTGAAAAGATAAGCCAGGGAGAGTGATTATGCATTCCAGGCAAAAGAACAACATCTACAGAGGTGGGAGGCCAAAGAAATATGATGCCTTGAAAACAGAACAGCAGAAACCATGTGCTGTGGCTACAGCCTCAAGGACTTTGGAGAGAAGAGGCCAAAACAGCAGACAGAGTCACACCATGCAGAGCCTCCTGACCCTCCCTGGTGGGCAGTCTGAACTTGGTCTTAAATGCACTGAGAAGGAAGAATCTTAAGAATGACTGATTCCTCTGAGGGAGAAGAGGGAACAGTATCCAGCAGTATCATAGTGACCAAAATAGGATTGCCAAGGACCTGACTTAAAAGTATCACCAATAAAAGGGGTAACTAGGAATTGGAATAAAGGAATACCAGGTTCTCTTCCAACATCAAGATTTCATTATACACCTCTGCTTCTCTTTATTAACTTCTTTTTATTAAACAGAACTGTCAAGTTCCACTTTCCAATTACCCAGCTTTGCAGGAGCCTCAAAATGATGTGATGTCACTAAATCCATGATGACAGTTCTCAGATTTGGGATTATTAGCTCATAATCTGTCAGATTTCCAAGCAGATAGCTTTGCCTTCTTTTGCAGAGAACCAGAAAATAAGCTGAACAAGATCTCTCTAAGAGGGTGAGTGAAGTGGTCTCAGTAAAGATTGGGAGTGGCTCCAGGGTTTCAGGGAAAGTGCTCTGGGAGTTTGCAACTTGTACTCATACTTTCTATCTAATCATCATCATCATCATCATCATCATCATCATTATCATCATCATCAATATTATTCTTGGCAGTGCTGGGGATTGAACCCAGGGCCTGTGCTAGGCAAGTGTTATACCATTGAGCTACACCCCTAGCCTTTATGTGACCTTTTATTTATCTACCTATTTATTTATTTTTGATCAACAAGACGAGATTTGTTCTGTGCACCACAGCACATAGCACGATATGGACTGTATCTAACTGTTCATTAAATAAGGACAAAAAAACAGAGTGCAGACTGAACCAGATCATTGAGGCTAAGTTCCACAATGCCTCTTCACCTTCAGTACTCAAGCATTATTCAAGTTTCTTTTGAGGACAGAAATGACTAGAGAAAGCTAGAAAATGCATTTCCTATGCTTTGGTACAAAAATAAAGGGTACTCTGTCCCATTTGTTTCTATAATTGTCAAAACACATGCATGAGTCCAGGAGAAATAATACATCAGGAGACTTGGTTTTCACCCTTTCCATCTCTGCTGGGAAAAGTGCCGTGATGGACCTCGTATTCCTCTTCTGTTTTCTCTGGGCATTTTCCCTCTCAGGAATCAGACCTGGTACCTCTTAGTTGAGGTTGAGAAGAAAGGCTAGCTTATGTCAAGATTTATAGTTTTAGATGCTATTTCTCCTAACATTTTCCCAAACATAAAGAAAAGTCAGGTTTGTACCTTCAAGGGGTTTGCAGTCTAGAGAAGTACCAAGGAATGGAGTGTCCAGAGTAATGAGGAAGACTGGTTCTGCTTGACCCTTAGTCTCAATATTTTACCATATCCTAAGTGACTATTGAGAGAAGTAAGTAACAGGAGAGAAAGGGATAAAACTAGCTACAAACTAGAAAATCACATTTGAAGAATCACCAGGCCAATCTTCATCTCTAAGGAAAGTATCAGTCATTTTGAAAGACTCTGGGGGGAAAATTTCCCTGGGAATGTTTATAAGAAAATCTCAATATTTGAAATGAATTCTTCAATGATGTACATTTTTATTTTCATGATGTAAATGACAAATGAGATCCAAAGAAAGAATGGCTGTTTCAGTGAGAAACATATATAGATTATTACAGGTCGTGATATCTAAGCTTAAGGTGATAATACTATAAATAGTTAACAATAAGTTACAGATTTAAGACTTTCGACAGTAAACTTTGAAATTAATGATATACAACCTATTAGTATATATGGACTTCTGGAAAAAAACTCTAAGGAAAGAAATATTACTAGGAAATTTTGGAGAAAGTATGAACTGCATTAAAGAAGCAACTGGTTTCTGTGATCTCAGTAGAATAGTCTCCCCTCCCTTTTCTACCTTGGCTGGGACCAGGAGAGGAGCTGCCAACCATTGGACTTCTAACTTTCCCTTGAAACTACTGCCCATGGAAAATGTTATTTCAGGCATTAGAGTTAAAATCTGTTCTTTTATTTATTTATTTTTGCAAGTCCGGACTTTATTTCTCCCACTTCATTTATGGCAATCTTGAGCTTGTGTGGAATAAAATAAACAAACATAATCTCAGAAATATTTCTGCTGAATGTAGTGCATGCTGGGGACAAATCATGAAAAAAATTGTCATAAGCTTCACAATATAAATTACATCATAAAAAGTTTCTTCAAAGAGTTTGTTTTATTTTTGCCCATATGATAATTAGTCAGCCAGATTACTGTTTGAAAATTGATAAATTCCAGTAAGTGAACATTAAAAATATGAAATCCTATTAAAAACTTCTTACAATGTAGCCGATTAAGGGGGAAACAAACAACTTTCTGAAAGTCCTTACTTTCAAATTTGTCAAACTCCCTCTCCTTTCTCCATGTCACTTCTTTACACACCCCAGCCAAGAAAGAATGACAAGAAAATGGGTTCCCAAAAGAGTGGGGCCAGCTCTTGCTAATGGACTTGCCAGCTGTTGGTAAGAGTTGGAGAGCTTTTGGGATGCAGGAGCCTGAGGTCTCGGAAAATCTTTTCTATATATACACCCGGTACTGGGAGTTCTCATTTTCTTGGCTCATGCACTAAATTCAAAACCACCAAAAAAAAGAGAAGGGAGGCGTCGCCCAAGGCTCCTGGCATCCCGCGGCTGCCAACTCCTCCCCTCCCTTCTTTCTCCAGGGATGCCCTCCAGAGGAGTCATGGGTACCAGCCAGGCGCCGGGTCTGGTCAGCCCGCGCGCACCGGGTAGGCGAGGAAAGCGCTCGTGCCCACCTTGCTCGCAGGTGCCCTTGCTGACCTGGGTGATGGCCGTCTCCCCGCGGCTCTCGGCCCTCAGGCTGGCGGCGCGCAGCTGGCACCCGCTGGAGTAGGTGGTGCCGTCGCTGCCGCACACCGGGTGGCGGCTCTTGCACACGCACACGCCGCTCACTGCCGGGCCGCCGGCTGCTGCCCCGGCTTTACCCTTCCGCCTCTTGCGGCTCTTCACGCACTCCATGCCCGGCGCGCAGTGCCCCCTGCCGGCGCCACCGCCCCCGCACGGCTCGCCCTCGCCGCGGGCGCACACCGGGCAGCATCCGCACGCGTCGCGGGTCTCGCCCAGCGGGCAGCCCCGCGGGGGCAGGGGCGGGCAGGTGGCCGGCTCGCAGGGGCCGCAGGCGTCCGAAGAGGAGGAAGAGGAGAGGGGCAGGAGCAGGAGCAGCAGCCCGGCTGCGCCGAGGAGCAGAGCGCGCAGCGGCGGCCGCTCCATGGCGGGGTGGCGGCGGCGGGAGCTCGAGTGAGCCGGGTCTGGCCGTCCGGCGCCTTAAACCCGCCGCCCCGCCCGCTCGGCCGGACCGCGGGAACCCCGCCCCGCCCCTCCCGGCCCGTGGGGCCAGCGCGCGCTCCTGCTGGCGGGGCGCGGTGGGGTGCTCGGCGGGTGCTGGCGTCGCCCCCAGCGTCCGCGCAGGCCCGGGCGGCGCTCGGTCTCCAGTCTGCCCAGCAGGGCTTCAGCTTCGGCCGCAGCACCCCGCTGGCTCCCGCTCAGTCCCCATCCGCCGTCCCCTCGGGGCCTCCCCAGCCCTTCTGTGCTGGCGGTTCAGAGCGAATGGCTCCCTCGCCCTCTGGTGCCTCACCTTCCTGGTCCAGATAGTTACACTTTTAAACTACAACGAAAACTTTGAGATGACCTAGGATCTAATAAATTCTCCATCGTCCTGGGTTGCCTGAGTGTTGATTATTCTGGGGCGTGGGAAGCCCTTTTAAGAACAAGCCATTAAGAAGAAGAAGAAAATGCCGATTTTGTATCCTCACTGTGGTCTTGGGTGATAAGCTGAAAGGACAAATCTTTGCCCACTACTTTTCTTTTAGGCTCTTTAGAGTCGTCCACCTCTCATACTGCACAAAACCCTATACTTTCTTAGTTTTTTTTTTTTTCCAAAAAAATTTATTCTTGTTAGTTATACATGACAGTAGGATGGATTTTGAAATATAAAGTATGACTTCCTATTCTTGTGGTTGTACATGACGTGGAGTTATACTGGGCATGTATTCATATATGAACATAGGAAAGTTATGTCCCATTCATTCTACTGTCTTATGTTAAGTTTTAAATCTGATGCTGGAATCCATGAGAGGTGTGTCATGTCTTAAATTCATACTACATTACGTTGGACCTCCTCAAACCTCTCTGAGCTGGGGTACTAGGGAGCCCAGCTCATCAGGGGAGGCGCCACTGAAGCACCTAAAGCACCCCCAGTTTTCTCCAGCATTCTCATGAGGGGTTAGACCTGAATGATTCTTTAATCTTTCTGTGAAGTGCTCTGCAAACTCAACTTTAAGGCTTTTCAAGAATATTGGCCCTTAGAACCCCTTCTCTGCAGATTTTGAAGTAGTTTTCATTTTTAAATTGAATCTATAACATTGTAGAGGACATCATTCTGCTTGTCACATGTTAGTTTTTTTGTATCCTTTTTTTCTTGGCATAAATCCAAGGATATGTATGCTAACCTAAAGTGAGAAGACAATTTTGTTTCACAATGCCATCCGCAATGTATAGAACTCACTCTGATAGTCATCCTGGGATTATTATTGTAAAGCTTTTTGAAAATTAATCACAAAATTGGGGGGGTGGGGGTGGGGACAAACACCTTTCTATCTAGAAAACCTGATTCTGCTTTTTGTCTTCTATTTAGTGTATTTTGGAAAATTGGCACCTTTTGAAAAAGGTCATATGTTGACATTACATTGTTTAAAAAACAATGATCTGGACATAATGGGGGCATGCCTGTAATCCCAGTGGCTCAGGAGGCTGAGGCAGGAGGATTGCAAGTTCAAAGCTCGCTCAGCAACTCAGCAAGGTCCTAGATAACTTAGTGAGACCATGTCTAAAAGAAAAAAAAAAAAAGAAAGAAAGAAAGAAAGAAAAAGGGCTGGGAATGTGGCTCAGTGGTTAAGCACTTCTGGGTTCAATCCCTGGTGGCAAAACAAAATAAAACAAAAACAACAACAACAACAACAAATGAAAAGTCTTTAGAGGAGTTTTCCTAAATATTCTTGCCTTTATCTCAAAGTAAGAGATAACAGTCCTAATTGACACAATTGCAGAGAGTACCTTGTTAACTATTTTATTTCAGTTTTATTAATTCAACAGTCAGGATCCACTAAATTGGTTTCACATTTACTATAATTATCTGACATAGTTTTAGGTTCTCCAGAAGCAGCTCTTGAGACAAGGATTCCAGAACAAGTAGTTTATCTGAGTGGTCACATCAGGACATTCCTCTTGGGACTGGAATGAATGTGAGTTGAGTAGGATGGAAAGATGCCAAATCAAGGTGCTTATACTGGCAGCTGGATGAAGCCCTCAGGCTTTACAAGTTGCCTGTGTGTGCAGGGCAGGTGAACAGGCTCTGAGGGCAGCTGAACCTATCACTACTGTCCTGCATGGTGTGCTAAAGCATGCATTGGAGCCAGGAATGAAAATTCAAGGTTGTAGGACAGTCAAGCCCTCACTGTGCAGTAAGCAAAAGCAGCAGTCAAGCAAGGTTCCCTTTACCTAGTCTCTGATAGTGTCAGTTAAGCTGGAGGACTTGAAAACAGAAAGAGAAGTAGTTATCTAGAGAAAGGAGAAAGAGGAGGAAAAGGGAAATTAAAGAGAAATCTGACAACTTCTTTCTTAAAGGAAAGAATATGTTGTCACATACTCAACTTTAGTTTTGGTGAGATGAAGAGCCTGGAGGTAGAGACGGGATTCTGTCATCTGTAAATAGATATGGTTTTATTTCTTCCTTGTGGGAGACCAACCTTATACGTGACTAAGTCACACTCTCTGGCTGGGTGCTGAGGCGCTCAGTCACAGAAATGTGGCAGAGCTTTTCCCACCCTTCTTGGGTTCGAGGGTCCGTGTCTTGTGCATGGGTGTGTCTTGCTACAGCCCCATGGGTGGAGCTCTGCTCATGTGTTCCTTTGTAATATAACCCCTTGCCCTGTTTAGGATAGAATCTTCCATGTGCCTTGTGTGTGACCCTTTCTCTTACTGTGCCCTTGGGTGTGGCCTACCCAGGTGTCAGTCAACCTGCTGACAGTGGACATCATGAATATACTCAGCCCCCTGAAACCTGACCCCTTGCCTCATTTGAATAGCTTCTCCTCAATAAAAGGGGTCAGCGTGTGCTCTCGCGCTCTCTCTCTTCCTGCGGACCCTTAAGGTCAGAGGAGCCTTCACAGCAACCCCAAAGAAAAAGGTATTTGTGCCTCTTGTGTAGTTATTTTGCGCAGCCCAGTTAGCCCAGTTCAACTGGAGTCAACCCTGAGCCTTTTAGTAGAGAACAGAAACCCGGAACTTCCTGTTTAATTTGGTGCCTTTTTATTTCTTTTTCTTGCTTAATTACTCTGGTTAGCTCCTCTAGTACTATGTTAAATAGAAGCAGTAAGTATGGACATCCTTGTTCTGGTCTCAACCTTAGAGGGGAAAGTTTAGTCTTTCTCCACTGAGTATGAGGTTGAGTGTAGAGTTTTCACAGTTGGTTTTATCAGGTTGAGGAAATACTTTTCTATCTGTGGTTTGATGAGTGTTTTTATCATGAAGGGTGGAGTTTTGTCAAATGCCTTTTCTGACTTATTGAGATGATCACTAAAAATGCATTTTATTCTATTGATATAGCATATCTCATTAATTTATTTTGAATATTATACCCAACTTGCATTTCTTGGATAAATCTCACTTGATTATAGTGTATAATCCTTTTTGTATGTTTCTGAATTTGATTTGCTGGTATTTTGTTGATGATTTTTGTATCTATATGCATAGGAAATATTGGTCTCTAGTTTCTTGACGTGTCTTTGATGTTGATATCAGGGTAAGACCTATACAATGAGTTAGGAAATGTTTCCTTTGTTTTCATTTTGGGAAGAGATTGTGAAAAATTAGTATTAATTCTTCTTTAAATGTTTGATAGATTTCACCAGCAATGCCATCTGGTTGTGGACTTTCCTCTGTGGGAAGGTTTTGGTTATTGATTTAATCTCTTATGAGCCTGTATTCACATATGAACTACTACAGTTATGAGTCTGTATATGAAATACTACAGTTTGGGTGGCTTGAATGACAGAACTTTATTTTCTCACAGTTCTGGAGGCTAGAAGTCCAAAACCAAGGTGCTGGCAGTTGTTAGTTTCCTTGGAGGGCCCTAGGGACAGATCTATTCTAGGTTTCTCTCCTTGGCTTGCACATGGTTGCCCTCTTGCTGCCTGTTCATATGGTCATCCTTTGTGCATGCGCAAATCACTGATTCTGACTCAAGAAGAAATAGAAAATATGAAGATACCTGTTGTGGGTTGAATTGTGTCCCTCACTCCCTAAATTCATCTTTGAAGTCCTAATCCCCAGTACCTCAATATATGACTACATTTGGACACAGAGTTTTGAAGGGATAATCAAGTTAAAATGAGGTCATCAGGGTGGGGCCCTAGTCCAATATGACTGGTGTCATATTGAAGACTCTTAAAGAAGAGAGGAGGTCGTTAAGATGTGCACCCAGAGGAAGGGCCAGTGAAGACACCGTGAGAAGGCAGTCATCTGAAGGCCAAGGAGAGAATCCTCAGGGGAACCAAACCTGCTGCACCTCGAGTTTGGATTTCTAGCCTTCTGAACTGTGACAAAATAAATTTCTGATGTTTAAGCCACTCAGTCTATGGTATTTTGTTATAGCATCACTAAGCAACTAATATACCCACCTCCTAACCTGCCAGCCTAGTGACTTTAGGGAGCTATAAAGAGCCTGTTCTTTCTCCCCACTTCATCCCATCTTCCCTTGCCTAATTTCAAAGTTAGGGCCTAGGAGGACTGGGGAGGAAAGGAAGTGACACTTACATGCTATTGGTTGTTGTTGTTGTTCTTCTGGTTCATCTGACTTGTTGTGGGTAATTGGTGTGAAGCTGATCTCCAAAGACTAACCCTCTTGTAGGGTTCAGGTGTCGATTCCTTGAAGGATCTTTTGGAACTACTTCACTGCACAGTTCCCTGTACATGGGAAAGGACAAAAGCAGCCCCTGATGTCCAGGAACTGATCCAATCTCACAGCTGGACCACAGTGCTACTGAAAACTGACCTGACATTAACAGCTAGGTCTCAGTGTTATTGCAAATGCATCTGATGCTTACAGCTAAGCCATGCTGTTTGCCTGTTGGACATGAACAATCTCACAGAACATCTAGTTTAGACAAGGTCACTGTGCCACCACCAAACACCAAGTACCTGCTTCCCTTCCCACATAAGGCTGTGGCTTTGTCAGGTACAGCTGTATTTTGTTC